CATCACCTGGCGGCGAACCATCGCCTGGCGAACCATCGCCTGGTGGCAGGCCATCGCCTGGTGGCGAGCCATCGCCTGGTGGCGGGCCATCGCCTGGTGGCGAGCCATCGCCTGCTGCGACTGGCGGGTCATAGTACTCCTCGGACCCATCAGCTTCAGCCTCATCACGTGCCTCGTTATCTAAGCGATCACGAAGGGATTGGGCTGCGTTGTTGATGTACGTGGGAGTCCAATCGTCCACTCGCTCCTGCAGACGCTTGCCGTCGACCACCATGAACACCGTCCTGCGACGTTTGTCGCATTTCACACCTTCCACCCCTGCTGGTGCTGACCGCAAGCGATGTGTTGCCTCCTGACTGCATGAAACCGCTGCTGCGATAGATGCAACCCGTATGTACTCAAGTCCCGTTGGCGTACATTCGACCCACACCTTCTTAGTAGCATTCAGCTCAAACAGAAGCTTCAAGGTAACTGCATCGTGATGCAAATGCTCATCACCATGGTCGCACTGGACTGCGGGCATATATATCGAGACAGTTTCTGGTAGACCACCATCCCGTTAGGGCACATGTCTAGAATGCGTTCTCTTCTACGCCCTTCACCCCCTTGGGGGAGTGGTTTGCCTGGACGGTGGTTCCAAGAAGGGCTCATATATACTTCAAGATGTCCACGGATATGTCCCAATATCACGCGATGCCTCAACATGCAGGCATGGATATCACGCGACCCAAGATTGCCCAAGCTTGTCCAAGATATCACGCGATCCAAGATTGCCCAAGAAGTCTCAAGGTCAAGAGATCGATCCAAGAATGGTCCAAGAGCGGCCTATTCACGCAAGCGAAGTAAGGCATCTCCTATTCCTCCTCCTCATCATTTTTTTGTCATCCTTATGCTCCGTCCTCCCCCCCCTTTCCCTCCTCCCATTTCTCCCCCACCATCCCCCTCTGTTTCAGCCCCTCCTCCTCGCCCCCCTCCCCCGCCACTCCACCTCACCATCCAATGTATCATCCTCCTCCTCTCATTCCTCCTCCCCTGGTGGGAATGCGCGAAGCGTCCACGATTGCGACATATCCAGAGAACTCCTATTGTTCTTAATGACGCTGGCCCTGTCGCAATCTTGCTGAAGCAATGGGTCGGCCTGCTTCAAGTGGTCCCAAATGGCCTCGGTGCAAGCGGCGTTGCGCATCTTCAAGATCTGATCGAAAAACGAATTTGTCGCCAGAGGCGATTGGCTCTTGGTGGGGTTGGGCACAGATATAAATTTTTGCAGCTGCCTATCCGCTCTCGACAGCTCCACGAAGAGCCCCCCTGCCGTATGCATCACCGCCCTCGGGACCCATGGCTCGCGATCCTTAAGGCCGCCCCCCTCGATGACCGTGCGGAGCTGCACGCTCACTGCCATCTGCAGCTGCAGTGCGTGCGCAGATGCAGCGTGCACTCGCTTGGACACAGCCAAACGCCTGCGGGCCGATGCAATGGACAATTGCAGACGAGTCCGATGCGTGTTGACGCAATGATGCAACGATTGCAGAGGAACGATACCGACGATGCTTTCATACATTTCATAAACACCCCCCACGACACATGGTATGTGTAACCGATGCTGCCAACACGCGAGCCTCATCGCTTCCTGGCCTTCTTAGCCGCGGGCGCAGCAGGCACATCGTCTACCTTGCGCTTGGGCATGAGCGATGCCAGCTGGGCGCTAAGGACATCGCCCTTGTTGATGGCGCACTTGTTTGTCAAAATTGGTACATGCACTGATGGGGCAGCTGTAGACTTGACGGTCTTGAGCTTCATGTTGGGGGTGCCGTGCTCACCTGAATCCTGTGCGAGCCAGAAGGGGATGACGAGCGAAGACGGTGCCTGCTTCAGCCCTCCAACGCCAGTGTTCGTCTCAGCCTTAGGCATCTTGATGCCACCACTGGGGGCCAACACGATATTGAACGTCAATCCCTTGGGGTCCTTGTATGTCTTCATGAACACATGCCCACACTGAACTATATCAGTCTGCTTCTTCAAGTAGATTGCCGAAGAGAGTGGGACAAGCACCAGCTCTTCAGCCTCAAACGAACGCGTTACGGTGAGAGCACGAAGCTTAACAGGCGTAATCACGCCACTCAAGTACTTGAGACAGTTGCCGTTCTGGCTGTATACATCATCCAAGGCCAGCCTGATTTTGGCCTCCTCGATACCCCACTGGTAATCGACAGACTTGAGGGGGCCATGATCAGCGAACTTGTCGATCGTTTCCTCTATGGGGGAGCAGCGGGAAAAAAAAAGATGAGACATGACGACGCAGAGCCAAATGAGATGAGGGAACGACGAACGAGAATTCAAAGGTGTGGGGGTGTATATGCATTCCACATGCATTGCGACGAGGTCGCAAGACTGTCCTTCATAATCGTGGACACGACGAACTTGCCACGTAAGAAGTCGTCGATGGGGTGGCATGTCGCACTGCCCGTGGCCTGAAGCTTCAACTTCACGCCAGTCGCAGCGTCGATGGAGGTCAGCTCGTAAATGTTCTCACCCAAGGTGTCGCTCGCCAAGGCGACTTTGGCGCCAACCTCAAACCCCTTGTCACTGAGCTTGCCCACTTGTTTCGACCACTTGCCCGAAGCGGTGTACTCTTTCACATCTGAGCTACGCGCCTGCCCTGTCACGGCTTTGGATGCGCCCTCGCGACCGATCTGCTTCCATGGGCTAGCAACTGCTTTGCCAACGTGCGTTGCCAACGCAGTGGTGAAGCTGACCCCGATGTCATTCAGCGTCTTGCAAGTGCCTAAGCGCTCATCGGGCTTGTTGAACACGAAATGAACTACGCGAACGTCAGTCAATCCCACGATGGTGCCGTAGGCGACCGCGTCTGCCGTGATGCCCTCACCGCATGCGATCTGTCGCACTTTCTGAAGAAATTCATCGGCCACCATTGCAATCGTAGACTTCTCATCGCTCGACAAGGCGGTCACGTCGCCTGGCTTCAAAAGCATCTGATGGCCATCCCTCGCGAACTTACCCGTCGCACATGTCATCGCCTTCATGCATGCGAGCTTGAATGTCGCAGCGGCCCCCCCATGCTTGATCTGCACCTCGGCGAGAGACTTCGCCATTGAACCCGTGACCACGCACTGGGAGGTCAGCTGCCGCGAGAAGTCGCGAAGCCCGTTCAGAAAGATCGGGTTGCCGAGGCCGCCAGACAACTCCTTCACATATTTTACTAAGCCATCGATCTCCCCAGGAAAGAGAGAGCCTGCGCGAGCCGCCTCGCGGATCACACTATCCCAATCGATCATGGTGCCACCCGTGTGGTGTCGGTTGGCAATTGCTGCGATCTTGTACATGAGACTCATGCGAGATTCGCATCTGGCAATTTGTTGGCCTGCATTGCCAGCCTCCTGAGCAAGATTACTAATCCACGGGAACTCCTTCACGAACTCGTACCGAAAGACCTTCCACTCAATTCCTTCGTCACACGCCTTAGCGTAGTCTGGTTGAACCTCCCGTAACCTCGTCAGTGACAATTTCCCTTGGTGCGAGATTCTGTCGAAACGCTCTGGCATGACCGTGGGTACTGGAACCCCTGCGTTGATGCAACGCAAACCCATGGATGTGTGGCCGCACGTATAGGATGCGAACTTTGCATCGCAATCATACTGCGGCAGCTGGCCCGCTGAGTCCTCCATTATTTTGAAATTGAAGTTCTTGATTGCATTGTACTCAGGCGTGCCCACTGGTGGAAGTTCCATGCAAGCTGGATTCTGGAGGGCTGAGTTCTTGAATCCATTTTTGAAGATCTTGGAAATCAAATCCATAACCTCGCTCGGAATGATTCCATCTCCGTAACGATTCTCTGTGCACACCATCATATACTTCGAGTGTATTTTTTCTACCCTCAGGCAGTCTATGCCTCTTGCAATGCTGCATACGTCTTCAAGTAATGAGACCACCGCTGCATCAGGATGCAAGTACATGTCCTTGATGGCCATCATCTTGGGGCGGACCTCCGCGATCTGCTGTTCACGGGAGGCGTTCATCACGCCGCGTGCAGGAGGACGCCACAAGCGCCAGCAGCAATCCTCGCCCAAACGGCTGGAGCCCAAACTCTAGTGACATTCAAAAACATGTGCAACAGAGGGTTGCGAATTCGAAATGATATGTTGCATTTGCAATGCACAACATTCTTGTAACGCTCGATACAATATTCTGAATGCGTTCGCACGCAAGTCTGGATCATGATTTCCGATATGCGTGATCCCGAAAATCCAAACACATGCATGCGTTTCTGGAGGCAACATCCAAGGAAAACCCGATGCAGCAGCTCTGTTTTCACGTAAGCATGTAAAAGTTAGCGAAGTTAGCAACTTCGCTAACTCAAGCTATCTACCTCCAAATGCACCGCCCGAGTTAGCCGACTTAGTAACATTACTAATGGTTATAACTTACTTGCAACCTAGTTGCAACTTACTTATAACCTACTTACACGTGCTGCTAACAATTAGTAAGGCCGAGGGCCTTCAGGTAGGGAGCCCTCGCCACGCCGCCGCCGTGCATCGAGGGCGAGCGGGCCTTGTCGAGCACCCACGTGTCCCCCGGCAGGCCGACGGCGTCCATCGCGTCGACCAGCGCCTCGTGACACATCCAGAGCGCCCAGCTCCAGCCCATAGGCAAGGCAGCGAAGCAAGGCCAGATGACTCGTCCTCCGCGACCGGCACACGCCGGCCCAGAGCATCGTCGTAGATAGTCGAAATCCCGAGCTCGCCGGCCGTGACCTCCACGTCGAAACACATCCAGCAGCCCCACGAGGGATCGCTGAACTGGTGGAAGCCGTCCTGCAAGTCGACCGAGCCGCCGCACAGCGAGTCAAAGCAGCCGTCGAAGTCGGCCAGGTCCTCGGGCGACGCGTCGACCGCGTCGAGGATGTTGATAGACCCGAGCGCCTCGCCGGACGCCAGAGTCGTGCGAGGCGGCAGCCGGTGCAACTGGTTGGCCTGGCGTGCGTCGACCACCAGGCGGATGTCCCCGTTCTTCTTGGCCACGAAGAACGTGCTGACGCAGGCCTTCCGGCGACGGCGGCCGCCCACCAGCCCCCGCCGCGCCACCCTGGCCAGGAAGTCGACCAGACGCGGCCGGTTGGCCTTCGTCCGAGGGTGGAGGAGCGGATCCCAGTACGGCTCGACGATCTCCTCATCCGGGGCGATGTCCGCGGACGGCCGCACCACCTCGGAGTCAAAACTGCCCAGGACCTCGGCCACGCGGGGCGGGGCAACGTCACGCAGACGGACTGGGACGTCGGAGGTCCTGAAGACGTTGAGCTTGTCAGGGTCGTAGTCCTGGCGGGTCGAGCACTCGCCCGCACCACTGTGCAGATCTTTGCAGCGAAGGAGCTCCTGAAGGGCTCCAGCGGGATCCAGGTCCGAGGGCTTAGCCCAAAAAATCTCGGACGCGACGACGGATCCGCTTGATGGCCGACTCCTGGGCGGTAGTCGGCTCGGACTTGCTGGGCGGCTGCACACGCAGCGGCCGGCCGGCCTGAGCAGCACTGAGCGCGTTGATGGACGAGATGGCCTCGACGGTTCGCCGATCCCGCTCGTCCGACCGCGCCGCGCGCTGGGCCAGATACCGAGGCAAAGCGGCACGTTCTCCCCGTCGGGCAGCACGAAAGAGGCGACCACCGTCAGGAAGAGGAAACAGAGGAGTGTGGCGCCCGGAGGAGACCCCCTCGGGGCGCCGCCCATCGTAGGACCGTGGAGCCGCGGCCTCGGCGACGGGCGAAGAAAGGCCGGGCGGAGCGCCCAGCCCTGGAGGCGCCTGCATGGCGCCGTCAGCCGTCGGCGGTCTTGCCCTTCACCCGCGCCTTCTCCTTCGGAATGGCGGGCCCCTTCGGGCTGTGACATGGCTGCGCGGGACCAGCCGAGCTCGATCCCCTCTCGTACTTCTCGACCTCCTGCTCCTGCTCCTTGCGCCAGAGCCTCTCCCGCTTCCCGATGATCCCGCGGTACATCTGCTCCTCAAGATGGCCCCCAAAGTGCCCAAGAGAGCCCCAAGACGGGCCTACAAGGGCCCCAAGAGTACCCCAACAGCGCCCAAGAGCATCCTAAGAGCGCCCTAAGGAGGCCCCAAGGGGTAATCGTTGAGCCTCCGTGGGGGCGAAAACGGCCCCAAAAGACCTTTCAGACCCGCCCAAAGTGCCCAAAGGGGGCCCAAAGATGGCCCCCCAAAAACCCCAACAGGGCCCCAGGAGGGCCCCAAGAGGACCTCAAGAGAGCCCCAAGATGGTTCCAAGAGACCCCCGAGAACCTCTCACAACAACGCGTCAACTCGCCTGGCAAACTGTTTCTGAATGGGCTGGTGGGGATGCTTTTTTAATACAGCCGCAGGCGGAAGCGCCAGCGGCGGAAGGTCGCGAACGGGCCGCGGACGCGACTAACTTACCTAACGCGCGCAGGGCCGCGGATAAGGCGGCTCACGACAGCGTCCCAGGGGGGCGAAGCCGATGCAATCCAGGTGCCATGACAGCCCCTGAACGGGCATGCAGGTGCGTCCACCATGCCTGAGGTAGGCACCGAGACGACCTAGCGCTGGTGGGGATGCGCGAAGCGTCAAGAATTGGGCAGCACGATTTGTCCGGTGTTGTCCTCGCCTGCATTTGCAGAACTATGCCCAGCATTGCGTCACACTTCGCACTATGTGGCCGCAGCCGTCCAGGGTATACGTAGGGTCGAAGCGCGTTTTCGTTGAACAAGCCACGAAGCTTGAAGCGCAAGGATCCTCATTCAAAATCGCGCTCCTCCTGATCTCCCCCTCACTAAGACGACAGCAAGAACACCGAAGATCCGCCACAGTGACCCCAGGCAAGCTGGGGCGCGATAGCCGATTACGGAGCCTCGCTGACCCTGAGGAAAGGAAATTGCAATATTCTGTCTGTAGGCGTTTTCGCGCCGGGCCTCACGGTCATCACCGATCGATCTGGCTCGACAAACTGCCGCAGAAAAATGGGGGCCGAGACTCCGGTCGCAACGTCGGATCTCAGGATACTCCTCCTTCGCCTCCTCCTCTTACTTCTCCCTTTCTTGAAACTCATGTGACAACGTAGGGCTGCGCGAGCCGCCTCGGCAAGAACAGCTGGCCTCAGAGTTGAAAAGACAAAAAAGGACCCGCCTCGGGCAATGTGCAGTGGCCTGACGAGCGCATGACCTGCCATAGTAGGGGCCCGAAAACGTAGGTGCCACAGTAAGTGCCTGGAACTCCTCCTCCTTCTCCTCCTTCTCCACCTCCTGATCAGGGATGTCCAATGACGGGGGCGGGCAAGAAGGAGAGTTCACAAGAATCATGGCCCGAGGCATGTTCGCCGAAGAGGGGGGCCAGGGATCGCACTGAAACAAAAAGATTGGGCTCGGCCATTGGGGGAGATACCACGGCCCCGGCCATGATACCCCCCCCCCATCATCACCTCTTCCTGGGCCGCCCGCGACATCTGCAATGTTCACGGCAAGCGGGGGGCCGGGCAGAAACTCAGGGCAGGAGGCGGGAGGGGCCTGGCCCACCTGGAGGTCCGCAAGCTTCACCTTGGCCAGGGGGACGTGCGCCTCCGCGGGGCGGGCGCGGGGGGCGGGAGGGGGCAACGATGAGGGCCAGGACCCATCCAAAGATGCGGACCAGGTTGGGGGACGAAAGCGATGATGGGGACGACGGGGGGGACATCGTCTCGACTAAGACGAGGATGATGTCGTGATAAGGAGGGCTCAAGATACGTCCCAAGGCTCGTGATAGAGAGGCCTCAAAACTGGGTCTCTGGAGCCCGAGCGGAAGACGATGAGGGCTGGGACCATTCAAAGGATACGGACTAGGATGGCGAGGAGGATTGTGTCGTCGACGTCGGGGCCAAGCTGGAATCATTACCCATATGAACAAGATTTAAGGTCCGTCGCAGAGGGGGGGCTCAGTCTACCCCGCTAGGGGCCACGCGAAGAGGTTGCTGGCACACGGGCTCTGCGTTGCGCTATCTCTGAGCGACGGGGGAAATAAGCGCAGCAGGCCCATGTTGGGCAGGAAAAGGCTCTAAGAAACCTCCAAGAACGCCGGGCGAAAATTCCAAAATGGTTCCCAAAACGTCCCCAACAATATCCGCCGACACCTTGTGGGTCTCTGGGCGTGTGAGATTCCCCCCGCCCAAATCCTCCCCCCCGGGGACCCCCAACCGGCAATTTGACCCCCCCCCCCGGGCCGAGCGCGACCCCGGAACGAACGCGCCACGGGGGAACGGAGGGCTGCATAACTGACTCAAAAAAACACCAACACGCTCCCCATACGGCCCCAGGGGGCCATGATTCGCCGACATACCGCCACTGGACGCCCACGATGGCCTCCAAGCGGCCTCCGAAGCTGCCAAGACGCCCCAGCGCGCCCCCAAGATGCGCCCCAAGAGGATCCCAAGAAACAGACATCTGCCCATTCCCTTCGAAAAGGAAACATGTATCGCACGTTCGCCGACTCGGCTTGCACAACGTCCACAACGGGCAAAAAAATCTTCAATATCGCCCCCGAACGGCCACATGGGCTCCCAAGAATGACCGAAGAGGGTCCAACAACAGCCCACGGATCCCTCAAGGCAGCCCAAAAGGACCCCCAGACGGCTCCAAGACGGAGGGCACCTTTTCGAGGATTTCGGCCCCAAGGCGCCCCCGGCCTGCTCCAATAACGCCCCTGAAGGCCCTGAGGGACCTCCAAGAAAGCCTCCAAGGCCTCCAAGAAACCCCCACGAAGTCCCCAAGAAGCCCCCCAACCTACCGATTGCCCCCGCCCCCAGAGCGCTCCGAAAGAGACCCCGCGAAGCACCCCAAAGATTCGGACCCCCTACCAAGCCAGTTTGGACCGACGGCTATGGCAAATTACACGGTCCAGACACCTGTACAGGGCCTCGAAATCCAGGGTGACGCACATGCTGTCCGCAGTGTCGGACATCTTCCCGAAACAAAAAAAACACCAGAGACAGGAGTACACGCCCCCAAACCAAATCGTCACTCCTCCTTTTCCTCCTCCTCCTCCTCCTCCTCCTCCTTTTCCTCCTCCTCCTCCTCCTCCTCCTCCTCCTCCTCCTCCTCCTCCTCCTCCTCCTCTTCCTCCTCCAACCCCCCATAATCGCCCCCCAGGGACCCCCAACCGGCAAACTGCCCCCCCCCCCCCGGGCCGAGCCCGACCCTGGACCGTACGCGCCACGGGGAACGGAGGGCTGCAAAACTAGCAAAAAAACGCACCAAACCGCTCCCCAGACGGTCCCAGGGGGGCCACGATTCGCAGACATATCGCACCTGGACGCCCACGATGGCCTCCAGGCGGCCTCCGAAGCTGCCAAAACGCCCCAACGCGCCCCCAAGATGCGCCCCAAGAGGGTCCAAAGAAACAGAAATCGCTCCATACCCTCCGACAAACAAACATGTGTCGCATGCTCGCCGATTCGGCGTTCACAACGTCCCAGACGGGCAAAGAAACCTTCAAGATCGCCCCGAGACGGCCAAAGAGGCCCCCAAGAAGGGCCGAAGAGGGTCCAACAACAGCCCACGAAGCCCGCAAGACAGCCCAAGAGGGCCCCCACACGTTTCCAAGACGGAATCCAGAGGGCACCTTTTCGAGCCTTCGGCCCCAAGACGCAACCAGCCTGCCCCAAGCACAGCCCAAGAGGCCCTGAGGGACCCCCAAGAGAAACTTAACGGCCTCCAAAAAGCCCCCAGGAAGCCCCCAAAAGGCCCCAAAACTTGGCCCAAGATGCCTTGAGGCGGCCGGATATGGCCTGCAGACAGGCCAAGAAGCCACCAGAAGGCCACAAAAAAACACCAAAAGGTACGGTAACAACAACGAAGCAACAAGAAAGATGTCGAGCGCAGTGTCATGCTTCGGACAAGCCTCGTGAAATGGAGTCCCGGAGGCGCAATCGTTTATATAGGGGTCGGCGGATGTGGCGTAAGCCTACAAAATAATACCAAAACGCGGTGACATCATGGGCCGTGGGACAGCAAGTAATCCAAGAGGAGCCTGACATCGCGCGACAGCCACAACAAAAACAACCAAATCTCCAATCTCTCCAATCTCCAACAGGCGGCCAGGCTCGCCGCCCCGATGGACGGGATGGCGCTGCATCGCCGCCAACACAATCCAAGACGCGTTCAACGACGGCAAGAGTGGCTCGGTCTGACTTAAGATGGCCCCAGGATGTCTCCAAGGCGGCCCTGGATGACGGCAACAGGCCGACATCAAGCCTGAAGAAGCGACTGGATCCCAGAAGAGGGTTCCTAACAGGTCTCCTCCTCCTCCTTGTTGATGTCCTCCCCATTCCTTTCCTCCTCCTCCTCGTCCTCCCCCTCCTCCACCTCTTCCCCCTCTTCTTCTTGCTC